ATCAAATACAAGATGAACTGGAAGACCTTCTAGTTCATGATCAGTGGCCTCGCGAGTGGACAGAGTGGGATGATCTTAGAGTGGAAGCGGAACAGTACGAAATGTGTCGAAGCTGGCAACTCAGAGAATTTCTCAACAAATATCATGCACAAATGATTGGACTCGATGAAGATGAACTCAAGGAAGGGGAGAATCATAAAGAAAATCCCAAGGCACCAGAACTAGTCAAAGAAAAATGGGAAATTGTTAGAATCAAAGCCCCCTTCCTAGAAGAAATCCGAGAGAAAATCTGGAGACAACCTGAAAAAATCAAGAAGTTCAGTGAATTAAAGATGCGAGGAATCAATCACTTGAAAGGAAAATACCGAGGAGGAAACCTGTATATGCTAGGACACAGATCCACAGGGGAACGAAGACAAGTTCTAAATCATAATCTTGCAACAAGTGGATGTCCTATATCGAAGATCCTGGATATCACAGAAGACTACTTGGAAACAATTAAGTTCCTGATCTTTCGTCTACGACGTACCGATGGCTCGGAGTTCACCTGTCAAGAGAATGACTTCTTCCTACTGCATATGGATGATATTTATCAAATGTTCATGAGATGCAGGGAGCTCCCAGTGCACAAAGACAGACTTGCTAGAGAAGGTTTTGAGGCCATTAAGAGATTCATGACAAGACAAGTTCGGTTCTACGCCTCCCATGATCTCCAAATGACTCTTGAGCACAACTATTCAAAGGCGAATCTTACACGACCGGACTTGGATAGACCTGGGCTTGAAACCTTTACAGCATATTATACATTTGACAAGCCCATCTCAGTCATCTATCTGAATCACAAAGAAGAGAAGCGTCTGATGATTGTTGAAGACATTCAAAAATACTGTGATGGGACCCTGCAAATCATCCGAGAACAGCTCCACCCAAGGAAAGAAGAGCTAGATAAAAGACAGAATGAAGCCTCGAAGGAAGAAATCAAAGAATTGGAAAGAGTCAATAAAATCTTGAAAGCCATCGAGAAACAACTAGACAGAAGAAGGTCTCTCAGAAATTACGAGCATGCACTCAATCTTAGAAAGCATTATTTTAAAGCTCAGAAGTGAAGAAAAGAAGAAGCAAGAACATCTGATCACAAAGGGGGAGATTGTTAGAGATATTTTCATTATATTGTGATCAATGTTTCTTAGCTATTTATATTTAGCATCTTAATTTAATAGATTAGCTAGAATAATGAATAGGCCTTTTAAGGCAATTTGTAATAAAAGGTTTTATACCTTTTTAGGTATGGGCCTCCTAGAAAAAGGAGCCCAAATGATTGTAAAACCTACCTTTCCCGTCAGGCTATATATATGCCTTAAGGGAAAGGCTAGGTTAAGCTTTTCAATACATTCTCTGTGCCGCAGTGCCTATTCTCGTGATAGGAGTTTTACGCTTACATTCATATCATTCTGTAAACTTCTTCATCACATCAATGGAAAGCTTCATTCCCAGATCTGTCTTCCATACATACATTTTATAGATTAGAAAACAGGGACCTAACATCATTCAATCAAACATTTTTGTCATGGGCTTATTTGTATAATTTATTAATAGGTTGTATACTCAGTTTAGCCTTATTTGTAATTAATGGGCCAAGGGCTTATTAGTTTACTTGTACATGTATATATATATATATATACACTACCTCTACACATGAATGGAATACGACATAATTTTCTGCCCACCTAACCCTCGGCTACTTCCAGTGGCGGAACCAGGGGGGAGCTAGCCAGTGCCGGCGCTCCCCCTTCGCCGGAGCAGTGAGGGTATGTATACATATAGTTTCTATAGCGCCCCTAGTCGTCTTCTTCCTTGCCCCGGCTGTTTTCCGTCGATTTTTTGCTCTGTTGGACGATGTCCTCCTAAGGTTCTGTTTTTGTTTTGTTTTTTACTTTTCGAAACGACGTTGTTTTGTTAAGTGTATAAAAGAAATAGAAACGACGTAGCATAGCAGGGTTCATACTTCATGGGTAGACTTTAGATTCTTATCACTTATCAGCCCAAAGGTCCAGCCGCCAGATGCTAAAATCGGAAATTGAGTAGCCATGTACCCCTGGAGCGGCTTGGGGTTTGGCCGGTTTGCCGATTGGGTGAGGAAGAAAGTTTGAGGAAACACAAACGGCAAGCATCAAGCTTATTTATTTCTGTGTATGCTCATCTATGATGTAGAGGTCCATCAAACTTGTTTAACTCCATATTATTTTAGCTTGTACTAGTAATTAAGATTGCTTTATTATTAATTAAGTTTTTTGAGGCTGTGTTTCTGCTTGCTTTGCCGCCTATAGCTTTACTGCTTTGATTTCTTTGAGAATTGCTGAATTGAGACAACATGTCATAACTAGTAATCCTTGTTTTTAATTATTTAATTTAGCTTGCGATTAAGGTACTCCATACAGTTTAGCTAAAACTGTATAATAATTTAGCTAAAACTTTATGCCTTTAATTATTTACTTTTCAGATTTGAATGTTTCGGAATTTTAATAATCTTTATCTAGTTTAGGGATTTATACAGTTTTATCTACTATGTACTTGTGTAAATAACTTAAGTAAATAAAAATGACCAATAATTTATACTCCGTAGTATATTACATACAATATACTATAAATTATTGTTTGTTATATTACTTATGTGTACTTTACCTCGAAATATTTTGGAAATAAAATTTAGATGTTATTGTTATTAGATCGTATATCTGTATTATCATTGTATTTTCTCATACTATTTTACAATTTCAATATTTTGAGTTTTGATAAATTTCTTAGCCGCCCCCTTCAACTTTTCTTCTGATTCCGCCACTGGCTACTTCGGATCACTTTCCGGTTAAAATGTGCCGGAGTTGTGATCGGAAGGATGATGGGTGGTGAAGGGGGAAAAGTCATGGACTAAATGTGGTTAAATTGAAAGTCAAAGGGAAAATGTGGAAGTAGCATAATAATCGTGGGATCAAAAGTGAATTTTTTCTTTTTTGGTTTTAAATTTTAACAAATGTATAACAATTAGTGCTGGACTCGGGCCGGGCGGCCCGGCCCGGAACCGGCCCGGCCCGGCCCGGTTACTGTTTGGCCCGGCCCGGCCCGGGGCCCGGTGGGTCCACCGGTTCGGTTCGGCCCGGCCCGGCCCGGTTTGGCCCGGAACCGGGACCGGAACCGGCCACCGGCGGTTCGGGCTCGGGCCTCCCTTTCCTGGCCCGAGGCCCGGCCGGGCCCAGGCCCGAACCGGGCCCGAACCGGCCCGAGTCCAGGACTAATAACAATCATAATTCGTTTTTAACAAAGCTAATGCCTTTTATATATCTTAAATGATATTCCCTTGGCCTTAATTTTTCATTTTTACTTAGCATTTTACTTTGCTTGTAAATGAAAAAAATGTAAATTGTGAAGTTGAGAGTTGCACAAAGAATAAAAGTGCTATCAATAATGATTTCTTTTGTTGTTATTGGTGTTGTTGTTGTTGTTGTTGTTGTTGTTGTTGTTGTTGTTGTTATGTAATGAACCAGATCAAAAGGGTGTTTTCATTCACATATAAGGATCTATATATACACGAGGGGAGCTAGGGTTACATCAATGAAATGGGCCAATACATATGTGCCGGGGGGGTTAATGAACATTCATAATTACATAACACTCCCCTTGAATGTACATTACTAAAACAAACATTACATAGAAAAATATACATTCCTTTCGTAATGTTGTCTCGTTAAAAACCTTGTCGAGCAAAATCGAGTGGGAAAAAATCTTGGTCAAGGGAAAAAGAGTGCAACGCATATATATTCTCCATGTTGGTTGCATCACTTTAGGTCTTCTTGTTCAATCCAATTCAATCTAATCTGGTTGTTAACTTCTCGAATGAATTATCTAACTATGTGTATGCCTCATTAAAAACCTTTTTCAAAAAACCCTCTGGAAAAAAATCAGTCAAGGAAAAGAATACATAATATATGTAAAACAATGTGTTGTATTGACTGTCTCATTAAAAACCTTTAACTAAGAAAACCATGTGGGAAAAACTTAGTAAAGGAAAAGTGTGACACCGCACCCGAACGTCCTTGAAAATTCAATTTAAAGATTCAAAGTTTATGCATTGAATTTCTAATTCCCAAACAATTGTAAATGATTGATGTTTTACGTAATTAATGATCGATTATTATACTGTTCGAACTCGTATATTAGTGTCGGGCTTGCGAATACTCGTTTGGGCCTTATTAATAAATAAAAGAGCCTAACATTATCTAAATAGTGATACATAACGTTTCAAGACAAGTTGAGGAAGGGTGGGCGGCCCAGATATTATTTTGGGCTCAACCCGCTAAAATAGCAAGTATTCGAGAATGGCGTCGTAGGCCCACTCGGGGGTGACCCACACGGCTGGTAGTCCAATAATATGGATGACAAATGTCGAAATAAGTGATAGGATGATTTGAGGTGAATACCAATGCCTATGATCCCATCTTTGACATTATTGAGCTAAATAATGGGAGTAGGATTATTCCTTCTATAATATCCATCAAGTAAATTTTTGAGATGAGCCTACACATATTGGAGATCAATAATGTGATGTAGGAAGTTGACTTGTTCTAAATAAGTTAGGATGAGTACAAAAAGACATCTTGGACAAAAGATAAAACAATAGAACTCATCTTCCCATTTTTGGAAGTATTGATAGATATTTTGGACACCAAAATAATTGGGATCAATGGGGAACCACTCCACATGATATTAGTACCTGCAAGACAAATAAAAATGGGTGAGAAGACTTACCTTGGCCGACCACCATGGAGAGGAGCTGCACAAGACTTGATAGGAATCAAATGTTGGGCCACCATCTCCATTTTTTCGCACAAAATGGTGTGCTGTTTGTCTCCACTCATTATGGGAGTTATACTCGACCAAACAACGTGTATAAGGTGTACTTGGATAGCCTTTAAAGTGTAGTTTCTTATTTGAGTGGTCTCTGTTCTAGAAGGGAGAGTTTATCCCACAAAAACCGAGCTGGAGTGAACTGCTGTCTGTAAACTCGAGCAGTGAGAGTGCTGAAACTGTTTGGTTGATATCTCGAGTTATACCAATCCAATTAAGGCGAGTAAGATACCAAAAGAAAGCTCTCAAGACGAGAAATCCGTGAAGGTCTGGTTTGCATCAATCGGAGTAGTGGAAGGCTTCCAAATCGTCCGAGCAAAACGAAACCTCACAGAAACGGATCTACACCTCTAAAGTGAGTTGTTAACCCCAAAACCTTTCCTTTCATTTTCCACATGATATGAACGATTGGTGGAACTATTTTACACTAATCCAAGTGTATAATATGTCCTTGTAAAGTTATTTTATTGATGTAAAGGTTAGATACTAACCTAGAGTAAATCTTGGAAAACTAGGAAACGAGTTAACCGGAAAACACCCATTCTAGGGGCTGTTTTCGTATCAACGTTTGAGGGTTGAGATAGCACTTTGAGGAGGATGTTTAACACTCATATTTAAGCAAGGAATCAGTTCTTAATCCACCTTGGCCAAAGCTTTGACCATTGGATCAAGAAGGAAAAGTTTAAAGCTCAATTAAGGTGAGGATCGACATCTAGTTGCTTACAACTTGTAGGTTAAGCATAAGATTAACTAAATGCCTAAATAATGTTTTCCATGGATTATGATGATAATTTATTGATGGAATATTGATCTATTTTCCAAAGAATGAAATGGGAAATGATTTGGTAAAGTATTGATAAAATGGAGTTAAATGAACTATTGTGTGAAATAGGCATTTTACTCATGTGTGAATTGTGTAGATACATAAATAATTATTTATGTATTACATTGAGTGATTAAGTTGCTACTACATATCTCTAAATATGTAGGGTTTTACAAATGAAATATATGATGGATAAGAATAATCTTAATAGTATTGAAATACTAGTTAATGATTGTTGTAATTGTTAAGGGAATTGAATCTAAGGATTTGATTATAATTTATGTACTTGAATTGTGATGCAAGTGACAAATTTGATGTAATGTGATGCTAAGACCATGGTTGGGCAGTCCGTAAGGATGTCCCAAAATAGATTATTGATATTACAATTCTAGGCATAGCGAGTGCTTAGGAATTGGGGTCTATGCCAATGTAAGGAGATGTACTTGAGCCCGTGCTCATAGAATTGCATTGGGTAGACATGATGGGGTGATTGTTGTGCATGGTGATGTAGTTGAGTTGGACTCAAGAAATGCACGGTGGAGTAGTTAACTTGTGTTAAATAAGGTGCATGGTGATGTAGTCGAGTTGGACTCGAGAATGCAAACATATGTGTTAGGGTTGAACCCTATGTATTGTTGTGACTAGGGGTCACGGGATTTTGGGCTATGTTTGATAAACAAACCTTGGGCCTACGGACCGACTACTTGACTTTATATATAAAGTAAGTATATTTTTAAAAAGGGGTAACTTGGGGTTACGGCCTAGATTATACTATCACCCTATTTGAGGGTCTTGTGTTTGAAATACTTGTTGTATATCTATTAGATGCCATCCACACCAGCACTTTATAGCCCTATAGAGTGCTGACCCCTTCGGGGGCGTCCCACCACCATTTTTCAGGTTGAGGCTAGAGCTTGCTTCCTGTGCTCGTTGCTCGAGAGATCATCTAGGAGGGAAGACTTGGTTCGTGCTTCCTCCATTCGGTTTTTAAACATTAATAAACATGCTCATGAATATTTTACTATAGAGCCTGCGTGCTCATGTTAGCCACGTGTGGCATTTGTTTTCAAACTATGTTTTCCGCTACGTATTCGATTGCTTATTATGTTGTTTATGGATGGCTTACGTGTGAATGATATTCGAGACGCCTTGTATAATATGAATGTGTTGGACTGCGGTTGACTATTCGTATTGTACGGCGGGTTGTTGACGTGTCCGGGGAGGTCCGGGGCGTGACAATTAAGTTGGTATCAGAGCCTTAGTCCATAAACTTCATAACGAAGTCTCAAAATTCCTTTTTTCAAAATGATTTTGAAAACCATGAGCATAGAAAATGTTTTGTACTTAAGAACTTTTGGTGTTTGAGTTGCAAGGTCTCTAATTGTTAAGATGGCGCCCTTAACGATTGGTATGGCGGTGACTTGGCCCAAGAGATGTCTTAAGTGCCTATCTGTCAGTTGACATTTGAAACGAGTCTAATGACTCATTCTAATTATTTCTTTCAGCGATGGAGGGTGATGGTGGTATTATGAATAGGGAGAACTCGGAAGGGTTTGCACCGGGTGGAACCGGGCATGCCAACCGAGAAAAGCCCTTAGGACCAAAGGTGCACGAAACTCTTGAAGCTCAAATCGTGAGTGGTGGTCATGTTAAGACCAAGGAAGAATCACCTTGTTATGGCAAAACTGAACCACTCAAGGCTTCGGGTGACGAAGGAGATGATTTGAGTGATGAGGACCTTGATGGTGCACCCATTGAACAAATGGGCATGGTCATAGATTGGCTTCAATGTGAACGTGTGAGGCTTATACAAAATGCCAAGATAGGCAAGCTGAGGGCATACCATTAGTAAGGAAAAGGAAGCGGGGAGACCACGATTCCCAAAGACATTCAAGGAGGACAAACGTTGAGGGTGACAAAACCTTCAGGACGCAGACACTATCACTTAAGTGGAGTCGAGGCTCGGGTGGCCCGAACTCGAGGTCAAAAGGTCCGAGGGTACCTAAGTGCAACAATTGCAAGAAACACCACTCGGATAAGTGTCAGGACCCTCCCAGGTGCTATCAATGCACAGAGGTCGGGCACACGAGAGTGAGTTGCCCACAAATTGTGCAAAACCAAACTTCGGGGTCAAGTGGTGGAACTACAAGAAATGAAAACCAAACCTAGGTTTCTCAAGGGAGAAGGGGACATGGGGGAGCAAGCACGAGCAACGCACCATCCGTGAACCAAGGAAGGACCCAAGCTAGGGTCTTTGCGATGACGGAGGCGGATGCTCAAGCTAACCCGGATTCCGTTGAAGGTATTACCTATTGTATACTTGTGTTTTATCCTTAATTAGTCCATAAATTGAGGTTACTAGTCGTTGGGATCGTTGCACGAAGCTTTGGGGTCGAACCGGGAGGATTTCGGGCAATTTCGGGATATTTTCGCCCAGGCACGATCGTGCCTAAGGGCACGCACGATCGTGCCTACATGGCAATAGCTCCCTAGGCTTTTTCCAAGCTAGGCACGATCGTGCCTACCCCCAGGCACGCCGTGTCTGGCACCTAGAATGCCGAAAACCGATTTTTCGCACCGTTTTGCGACGTTAAGACCTTTTCTTGATCCCTAACGTGTGTGTGAACATTGCAACCTTCTATAAATGAGTAGGGAGGGTAGGAAAGATGTCTTACATGGTTCATGAATGTAGGGACACTAAAGATTAATGGGAAGGATGCGCAAATCCTTATCGATACCGGGGCGCAACGTTCATTTGTGAGTGAAGCGTTCGCCAAGGAATTGGAAGTGCAATCCGCACTGTTGATGCAAACCTTAGTGGTATCAACACCACTAGGGGATGACATGGAAAGAACTTGTTACTATCCATCTTGTGGGGTGGAAGTTAATGGTCAAACCTTGACGTGTGACTTCGTACCGCTGAGCATGATTGAATTAGATGCAATCCTAGGGATGGATTGGCTAGAAAGGAACCATGCTAGGGTAGATTGCTACACGAAGGTTCTTGAACTCGAAGGCAATGATGGGGAGACCCTACGCTTCGAGGGTGATCGAGGGAGATCAAACAGCTGTATCATATCCGACGTGAGAGCGAGAAGTAGGATGAGAAAGGGATGCCACGCATATCTAGCATACGTGGTTGACAAAACTAAAGAGGAAACGAACATCGATGATGTGAGGGTGGTTTGTAAGTACCCGGATGTTTTCCCTAAAGACCTACCGGGGCTTCCACCTGATAGGGAGATTGAATTTGTGATTGCGGTCGAGCCCGGTACGAAACCAATCTCTATACCGCCATATCGGATGGCACCTGCTGAACTTAATGAATTGAAAACCCAATTGCAAAAGCTATTGGGTAATGGTTTCATTAGACCAAGCCACTCCCCGAGGGGAGCACCAGTTCTTTTTGTGAAAAAGAAAGATGGGACACTTCGAATGTGTATTGACTATCGTCAACTGAACAAGGTCACAATCAAGAATAGGTATCATTTGCCTAGGATTGATGACTTGTTTGATCAACTACGAGGGGCAACTGTGTTTTCAAAGATTGACTTGAGGTCGGGTTACCATCAATTGAAGATTAAGGAAGATGACATACCAAAAAGTGCTTTTCGCACAAGGTATGGACATTTTGAATTCCTTGTTATGTCGTTTGGGTTAACAAATGCCCCAACGGCATTCATGGACTTGATGAACCGAGTATTTCATAAATACTTGGACCGATTCGTGATTGTGTTCATAGATGACATCTTGATTTACTCAAAGAGTGAAGAAGAACATGAGGAGCACTTGATACTTGTCCTTGAGACACTACGGGGGAAGCAACTCTATGCCAAATTTTCTAAATGTGAATTTTGGCTAAAGGAAATTGGCTTTCTCGGGCATGTGGTTTCGGGATCGGGAATTGCTGTTGATGACAAGAAGATAGAAGCCATTACCGAATGGGAGAGGCCAAAGAACGTCAAGGAAATTCGTAGTTTCCTTGGGTTGGCAGGCTACTACAGAAAGTTCGTGGAGAAGTTCTCCGTTTTGGCATCACCATTGACGAAGCTCACTCGTAAAGGAGCTAAGTTTGTATGGGATGACAAATGTGAGAAAGGGTTCATTGAACTAAAGAAGAGATTGACCGAGGCACCGGTACTTGCATTACCCAAACAGGGTATGGGGTACGATGTCTATAGTGACGCGAGCATCCAAGGGTTTGGATGTGTGTTGATGCAGGAGGGGAGGGTAATTGCCTATGCTTCACGACAGTTGAAGAAGCATGAGGTAAATTACCCTACCCATAATCTAGAGCTGGGAGCAGTGGTGTTCGCACTGAAGATTTGGAGGCATTATCTCTACGGGGAGACATGTCATATATATACTGATCATAAGAGCTTGAAGTACGTGTTTACTCAGAAAGAGTTAAACATGAGACAGAGACGGTGGATTGAGTTGATAAAGGACTACCACCTAGTTATTGAGTACCATCCAGGTAAGGCAAACGTTGTAGCAGATGCCCTCAGTCGGAAGAGTTCGTCTGGGGCATTGTTGACTAGTTTGAGGGCATTGAGGGACCAATTGGATGTATCTAGCGATGGTGCCTTATTGGCACGATTTGAGGTGAGACCGACCTTACTTGAGGAGATCAAGAAGGGTCAAGAGACTGACGCAGAACTTATGAAGGTCCGGGAACGCATGCAAGCGGGACCGGTGGAGGATTTCAGGGAAAGAGATGATGGTCTCTTGTTATTCCGTGACCGAGTGTGTGTAGCGTCAGATGACGAGCTCCGAAAGTCCATCTTACAGGAGGCTCATTCATCGGCTTATGCCATGCACCCGGGGGGCACGAAAATGTACCGTGATTTGAAAGAAAGTTACTGGTGGTCTGGTATGAAGAGGGAAATAGCCGAATACATCAGTCGATGCCTTACTTGTCAGCAAGTTAAGGCAGAACATCAGCATCCAGTAGGCTTATTACAACCACTTTCCATTCCTGAATGGAAGTGGGAACATGTGACTATGGATTTCGTGGTAGGTTTACCACAGACAATTCAGAACTATGATGCAGTTTGGGTTGTTGTGGATAGGCTCACGAAGAGTGCACATTTCTTGCCTATCAACACTACCTACCCACTTGAGAGGTTAGCCAAATTGTATATGGATGAGATCGTGCGGCTACATGGGGTTCCAGAGACCATTGTATCCGATAGAGACCCACGATTCACCTCACGTTTTTTGCCAAAATTTCAGGAGTCTATGGGAACGAGGTTGAAGTTCAGTAATGCTTTCCACCCACAGACGGATGGGCAGTCTGAAAGAGTCATACAGATCTTAGAAGACAGGCTGAGGGCTTGTGCATTGGAGTTCCAAGGAAGTTGGGACAACCACTTAGCACGTGTGGAGTTTGCCTATAACAACAGTTATCAAGCAAGCATCGGCATGCCTCCATACGAGGCATTGTATGGGAGGAGGTGCCGTACACCGTTATGCTAGGAAGAGGTTGGCATGGCCAAACTCGAGGGTACTGAGTTGGTTGAGGTCACCAAGTCAAAGGTGAAGTTGATTCGAGAGAGACTCAAAGCGGCTCAGGATAGACAAATGAGTTATGCAGATAAGCGTCGAAGAACCTTAGAGTTTAAGGTTGATGACGAAGTATTCTTGAAAGTCTCTCCTTGGAAAGGAATCATTCGATTCCAAACCCGAGGAAAGCTTAACCCTTGATATATAGGTCCATTCAGAATTATAGAGAGGATTGGGGCCGTAGCATATCGCCTGCAGTTGACTCCTGAATTAGAGAAGATACATAATGTGTTTCATGTATCCATGCTTAAGAAGTATGTACATGATCCCTCTCACGTGTTGGAAAAGCCGCCTGTAGATGTACGTGAGGATTTGAACTACGCTGTGCAACCAATCAAGGTCACCGATAGAAAGGTCAAGAAACTGAGGAGCAAAGAAGTCCCCATGATTAAAGTACTTTGGAAGAGCGATCGGGTCGAAGAAGAGACATGGGAAACAGAGGCTTTGATGAGGAAGCAGTATGCCTTCCTATTCGAGTAGAGCTGTGAATTTCGGGGACGAAATTCCTGTTAAGGGGGGGTGAACTTGTGACACCGCACCCGAACGTCCTTGAAAATTCAATTTAAAGATTCAAAGTTTATGCATTGAATTTCTAATTCCCAAACAATTGTAAATGATTGATGTTTTACGTAATTAATGATCGATTATTATACTGTTCGAACTCGTATATTAGTGTCGGGCTTGCGAATACTCGTTTGGGCCTTATTAATAAATAAAAGAGCCTAACATTATCTAAATAGTGATACATAACGTTTCAAGACAAGTTGAGGAAGGGTGGGCGGCCCAGATATTATTTTGGGCTCAACCCGCTAAAATAGCAAGTATTCGAGAATGGCGTCGTAGGCCCACTCGGGGGTGACCCACACGGCTGGTAGTCCAATAATATGGATGACAAATGTCGAAATAAGTGATAGGATGATTTGAGGTGAATACAAATGCCTATGATCCCATCTTTGACATTATTGAGCTAAATAATGGGAGTAGGATTTTTCCTTCTATAATATCCATCAAGTAAATTTTTGAGATGAGCCTACACATATTGGAGATCAATAATGTGATGTAGGAAGTTGACTTGTTCTAAATAAGTTAGGATGAGTACAAAAAGACATCTTGGACAAAAGATAAAACAATAGAACCCATCTTCCCATTTTTGGAAGTATTGATAGATATTTTGGACCCAGGGCCGTCTCCAGCAATTTTGTTGCCCCAGACAAAAAGTGGCTAATGAGATCAAATAGTACTTCACATTAATAACATAATTAAATATCAAGTAATTATAACATTATAACGCCATTTTCATTAAAAGCCTCTTTGGTGATTCTGTTTTTCAGCTTATGAGGCTTATCAGTCAACTTTTTAACCAAATATGTAACTTTTGATTTCGCAAGATAAATAGTGTAATAATAAGAAAATGTAAGGTTGAAGTTACTTTTCTGGCTGTATTGGCTGAAGTTAGTGTAGATGGCTATTTTAACTATTTTTTAATACTACGTATAATTTTTTCTTTATTTTATTAATAAAATAAATTTTAAATATAATTTTTTTTATGAATCAACAGAATCAATCAATACTGTCACTTCAGTCAGAACTTCATAAACTTCAGCAGAATAAACTGATTCCTAACTCACGCAGCCCGGCTGATCGCTAAAGGCGCAAAGCAAAACTGCAACTTGGTTGAATATTGGATAATCATAAACTCCGTATTACTGTATTATTAATATATTAATATATACAATAATAATAGCTTTTTTATTAAAAAATGGTGCCCCTTGGGGGAGTGGTGCCCTAGGCCATTGCCTAGGTGCCTACCCCCCATGGACGGCTCTGTTTGGACCCCAAAATAATTGGGATCAATGGGGAACCACTCCACATGATATTAGTACCTGCAAGACAAATAAAAATGGGTGAGAAGACTTACCTTGGCCGACCACCATGGAGAGGAGCTGCACAAGTGATACACTTGTAATTTCCGTATGTATGTTTACGTTTTTAGCTAGTTTTGGTTGTTTAGTATTTCGGAAATTACACACTTTTGGTGTAATAGTTTAGTTTGTTAAATTCTTGTAATTTGTTTAGATTAGATTTATTCTGAGCTTAAACAGGTCCAAGATCAATCAAATGATCAAAGGTGAAGGAATGTGCAAGAGTAGAAGACAAAAAGAAGGAAAAACTCCTGATTTTGGGGTATACTCGGTCGAGTATACCTTATACTCGATCGAGTACCAATACTGATTTTCAAGGATCCGATCCGGGAACAAATGAACATGCAAGGAAAGATTTGGCCACGTTCTATTGTCATACCCGATCGAGTACACCGACATACTCGATCGGGTATACATATAAAATCTACTCGAGTATTGATCAAGTATTGACCAAATTCAGGTTTCTACACATACTCGATCCAGTATATGTACATACTCGATCGAGTACTCGGCCTGCACTTCAAAAAGCCTATAAATACACCTCCTTTCCTTCACTTTAAGGACACCAATTCATATACACTCTTAAGCTCAGTTTAGAATAGTATTTCTTTTATATTTTTATAGCATGTTTAGTCTCCAAATGAGGAGCTAAACTCTTCCATCTTGGTTTTGCTACTTTGAAGCTTAATGAATTTGTAAGTTGTGAGTTACTCTCTTTAATCTTCTTCCTTGAATATTAATTCTTCCTTCAAATACTATTTCTATATCAATGTTGGGGAGTGTTACTAAGATGACAATTAGTTAACATCTTGACATTAGTTATAGTAATAATTATTTCTTCCTCTACGTTAATATTGGGGAGTGTTACTAAGATGACAATTAGTTAACATCTTGATATTAACTATAGTAGGATTCATCTTCTTTAATATTCTTTCTTGAGTATTAATTAATTCCTATTCATATTTCATATTAATATTTTAAACATTACTTAAAGGATCAACTAGTTTTGTTTCATATATTAATTATTACTAGAATCGGTCGATTAATACGCTTGTTATTAATTCGGTTCTTTCATGGTAGTAAACTTGGATTATTAATGCATGCATCTCATGGTTAATAATCTAAGGGGAATTAATTATATTGATTAAACCAATAAACCGCTTGTGTTGAGGTTATCAATCTCAATCGTTTTCATCTTAAGTTTATTGCTACTATCAAGTTAATATACGGCGCTTGTTCTATATTGACTCGATAGTAAGTTTTATTAATGAATGCTTCTCGTTATTAATAACTACCCTCGATGAACTGGATATACTCCTCGATTGAGTATTCGAGAGGAAGATAGTTAAAGATATAACCGGGATCGACGAACATTTCATTAAGTGGATAAAAGCAAAGCCAAGTCTTCTTCTCATTAATTAAACTCATTTAAGTCATTCATCTTAGTGTTAATTAAATCAAATCAAATCTAAAACCCCCTCTTTGTTACTAGTTAATTAAAAAGAGAAATATTCCTTTCCCTGTGGATACGAACCTTACTTCATTATACTACGTATAATTGTTGTATTGTATTATTATTTTGAGTGCACACCACGACAAAGTGCACGTCAACAAGACTTGATAGGAATTAAATGTTGGGCCACCATCTCCATTTTTTCGCACAAAATGGTGTGCTGTTTGTCTCCACTCATTATGGGAGTTATACTCGACCAAACAACGTGTATAAGGTGTACTTGGATAGCCTTTAAAGTGTAGTTTCTTATTTGAGTGGTCTCTGTTCTAGAAGGGAGAGTTTATCCCACAAAAACCGAGCTGGAGTGAACTGTTGTCTGTAAACTCGAGCAGTGAGAGTGCTGAAACTGTTTGGTTGATATCTCGAGTTATACCAATCCAATTAGGCGAGTAAGATACCAAAAGAAAGCTCTCAAGACGAGAAATCCGTGAAGGTCTGGTTTGCATCAATCGGAGTAGTGGAAGGCTTCCAAATCGTCCGAGCAAAACGAAACCTCGCAGAAACGGATCTACACCTCTAAAGTGAGTTGTTAACCCCAAAACCTTTCCTTTCATTTTCCACATGATATGAACGATTGGTGGAACTATTTTACACTAATCCAAGTGTATAATATGTCCTTGTAAAGTTATTTTATTGATGTAAAGGTTAGATACTAACCTAGAGTAAATCTTGGAAAACTAGGAAACGAGTTAACCGGAAAACACCCATTCTAGGGGCTGTTTTCGTATCAACGTTTGAGGGTTGAGCTAGCACTTTGAGGAGGATGTTTAACACTCATATTTAAGCAAGGAATCAGTTCTTAATCCACCTTGGCCAAAGCTTTGACCATTGGATCAAGAAGGAAAAGTTTAAAGCTCAATTAAGGTGAGGATCGACATCTAGTTGCTTACAACTTGTAGGTTAAGCATAAGATTAACTAAATGCCTAAATAATGTTTTCCATGGATTATGATGATAATTTATTGATGGAATATTGATCTATTTTCCAAAGAATGAAATGGGAAATGATTTGGTAAAGTATTGATAAAATGGAGTTAAATGAACTATTGTGTGAAATAGGCATTTTACTCATGTGTGAATTGTGTAGATACATAAATAATTATTTATGTATTACATTGAGTGATTAAGTTGCTACTACATATCTCTAAATATGTAGGGTTTTACAAATGAAATATATGATGGATAAGAATAATCTTAATAGTATTGAAATACTAGTTAATGATTGTTGTAATTGTTAAGGGAATTGAATCTAAGGATTTGATTATAATTTATGTACTTGAATTGTGATGCAAGTGACAAATTTGATGTAATGTGATGCTAAGACCATGGTTGGGCAGTCCGTAAGGATGTCCCAAAATAGATTATTGATATTACAATTCTAGGCATAGCGAGTGCTTAGGAATTGGGGTCTATGCCAATGTAAGGAGATGTACTTGAGCCCGTGCTCATAGAATTGCATTGGGTAGACATGATGGGGTGATTGTTGTGCATGGTGATGTAGTTGAGTTGGACTCAAGAAATGCACGGTGGAGTAGTTAACTTGTGTTAAATAAGGTGCATGGTGATGTAGTCGAGTTGGACTCGAGAATGCAAACATATGTGTTAGGGTTGAACCCTATGTATTGTTGTGACTAGGGGTCACGGGATTTTGGGCTATGTTTGATAAACAAACCTTGGGCCTACGGGCCGACTATTTGACTTTATATATAAAGTAAGTATATTTTTAAAAAGGGGTAACTTGGGGTTACGGCCTAGATTATACTATCACCTTATTTGAGGGTCTTGTGTTTGAAATACTTGTTGTATATCTATTAGATGCCATCCACACCAGCACTTTATAGCCCTATAGAGTGCTGACCCCTTCGGGGGCGTCCCACCACCATTTTTCAGGTTGAGGCTAGAGCTTGCTTCCTGTGCTCGTTGCTCGAGAGATCATCTAGGAGGGAAGACTTGGTTCGTGCTTCCTCCATTCGGTTTTTAAACATTAATAAACATGCTCATGAATATTTTACTATAGAGCCTGCGTGCTCATGTTAGCCACGTGTGGCATTTGTTTTCAAACTATGTTTTCCGCTACGTATTCGATTGCTTATTATGTTGTTTATGGATGGCTTACGTGTGAATGATATTCGAGACGCCTTGTATAATATGAATGTGTTGGACTGCGGTTGACTATTCGTATTGTACGGCGGGTTGTTGACGTGTCCGGGGCGTGACAAAAAGAGTACAGTCATTGGCCTTCGAGGCCTAATCTTGTGGATTGCATTTAAATTTACTCTTCTAGAGAAAAATTATAATTCAAATTTTATGTATCATAATATGTTATTTCAAACTCAGAAACTTCCTCAATAAAACCTTTAACCAAGGAAACCCTCTGAGACAAAACTTGGTTAAGGAAAAAGAGTATAATTGCCTATGGTCTTCCGGACCAATAAATTGTTCGATCTCACAAGGACCAATTAAGACCTTCAGGGTAGTACTATCTTCCGAACTAATATTAGAATCACTCTTCTAGAGGATAATAGTCTTCCGGGTGTTATGAATCTTTCCCATTCCTTAAAAGCCATAAAATACCTTGAAATCTTCGGCCAAAAAAACTCTTTAAGAAAAAACTTGGCTAAGAAAAAGGAATAGCACATGGTCTTCAATTCTGGACCAATTAATTGTTTCACTTCAATAACAACTCAATATGTTTAGGTGAAAATGTACGATAAACTCCACATAATTTGAGCTGATGAAAACTTTAATATATAAACCTCCATCGTTATTAATACAGATTTGATGGACATTGGTCACCAAACTCTTCAAGAGTTTCTAAGTGGAAGCAATTGTCTTAATTCATGATCCATCAAGTTTTTTGTTATTATGCACATTAATTATTCAATAATTGAGTATTCTCAAATATTGGTCTATAAAACTTGAATGAAACATGTTCTTGATCCTCCTAGAATCTCAAATTAGTATACAAACACTTCAATTGTTCACAATGTAATGACTAGATGTTTATTATATAATCAAACATAATTCAAATCAAAAGATTTTCATGTGTTGTTTTTAGGTTTGGTTAGATGCTTAAAAGCCCCCAACACCTTTATTTATGCAATTCGATTATAGAATAATATATGTTTACTTCAGGTAAACAAATAGAAGGTTTATGAGTAATTGCAAATTCATTGCATAATGTTTCCTCATTCAACTCTTTCTATAGGAAAGGTTGAGAAGTAGTACGAATATAGCTCACTTTAAATTAGTTTAACATTTATTCATGAAATCATGTGAAAAAAATAAGAAAATAGTTCACATTAGATCCTCTACAGGAGGCAATCACTACAAGTGATATTTTGACATGGTGCAAAGACCTTGTTCAATCGTAATATTAAATAATATAATTCGCACCTAATCATCAAGCATAGTTCTCCTACAAAATAAATCATGTCATCAACCCTTATTATAATCACCCAGGTTGTAGTCAGGCACAAGCATCAATTTTATATATTTCCGACTATACTTAATATTATTGTTGCAGTTATTCAATCAAGTTCAAATTCTTTTTCAAGAATAGTTCCAAATATAGTCACTATAACTTAACACATAATGTCCTTATCTAGGCATATATAAAAGAATTCATATTCATGTTGCATGTTGTGTGCACATATTTCTTTTCACTATTATCCTTCAGGGACACACAATTGATATTACAACAATGACATCCAATTTTCTCATCAACTGGCACATTTACAGAACTTTAAACTATAACATGAATGTACTCTCAAAATCATTCAATCTCAAGTATTGTTACCCCATGTACACAATATCTTGATTTATGGGACTTCAGGCCCACTATAAAATATTTTCTCATCTCATCCATAAACACCGATCATAATTCACAAAATTTTAGGACTACAGGTCCATCATATTTCGTCAGGCAAAACTTTATTATTATGGATTATGGATCGATAGTGCTGGAAAAATAAATCATTGACGTCAATCTAATCAATATGATTCCTATTTTATCAGACCTCTATTTGAGCCATAAAAGAGGAACTTGTGTTCTATATCAAGTAATTCTATTTAAATTATCAGCTGCAGCATTTATATCATCCTCTTGGAAAGGCATAAGTGACTTACTTTAATAAAAAACTGGTTTTGTTGATCCTTGAATGATTGAGTTTCCAAACGTGGGACTTATCTTGTTATAATTTGAAAACCCTTCCTTCTATA